AAAAAAAAAAAAAAAAAAAATAGAGCTGTGTGAGAAAGAGAATTTGTATATCTTGGAATGGTTTGTTTGGGTTGTATTGAGAATTATCATATTTAGCCTACAGAAGTTTAATTGCTGGCTGTGAAGTACGGAATTTTGGGTTGAGAACTTAAAATTGTGTTTTTGTAGGTATTGGCATTTAAATGTTTTTCTAAGGGTGACTAAAAGAGCTAAGCTCGTGGAATTTATTTTCGAAAGAAGCTTTTGAGACAAAATATATTTTAAAATGATTGAGTTTTGATAAAGGAAAGATCATAAAAGTTAATTTTTTTTTTCTAAAGTCATGTATTAATATTTAATAAGATAAATTATTAAATTTTATATTAAATTTTAATTAAATGAAATGATATTTTTTATGATAATTATTGATATACACTCGATTTAACATACTATACAATATACTTATTAAAAAATTATTATTTTTTAGTTTAAAATTAAAAATAGACAAGTTAAAAGAAACAATTATATACATAAGATGTAGGAATCGATTGAATCTACTATATTTATATTATATTTTTAATAATTGAATCAAATGTGTGTCAAAAAATGTGTTAAATTGAGTATGTATCAATTATTTTTCCATCTTTTAAGATGAGGACTACAAATTTTTATATTTTTTTTGAAGTTAGAACTAATATACATTCTCATATATACAAATATATAAATATAAAGAGAGAGGGGCGAAAATAAGTGAAGTAATAAAGAGTTTTTCTAGGATATTGATTAAAAATACTTTTTTATTATAAATGCATATAAAAAATATAAAAATTAATATTAATTCTAGTGTTGGTGTCAAATAAATAAATTTAATTAAACAATTGATAAATTAAAAATCAACTTTTATATTTTCAATACAAATTTATGATCAAAAGGGTGTATTTATTACCCTTTAGTGCACAAATTAAAAAAATCTATAAATAAATATAATAAAATATATGATTATAAGCTAAAAGATGATGTTGTGAGAAAAATTAATACAATGTGAAGTATAGGTAGATAAAAAAGTACTAAGAAAATAATGTTGATAAGTTATGTTTTTTAGTTCTGACTTAAATCCTTTTAATATGAGCATTTAGGGGTGAGATTCGGTCGGTTTTGATTTCAATTGAGATCGATTAGGCAGTTAACCAAAATATCGGTTACTACCGAATATGAACCGAAAAATATCAATTTTACAGTTTCAGGTATTTTTTTAGTTTCGGCTTTTTCCAAACGGTTTTAGTATTGTCGGAAACATTGAGTTTCCTTCTTTTTTCAGTATCTACTTTTTTGCCTTTCAATCGTCAACAGATGCTTAAATTTTGTTCCTGGAGAGTTTTAATGGCATACCAAGAAAAAGAAAAGCTTGGAGTTGCAACAAAACAATGATAAAAATAAAAGAAAATCGAAAAAAATTAAAAGAGAAGTAAAAATTAGATCCAATCTCAATCCCCAACACCAATACTAATGTCATCCCCTTGAAATTGGACTTGGGAGCAGCAAATCATAGGAAATTAAAAAAACAAAAAAAAAAAAAAGAAAAGGAAGAGAAAGGAGATTAGTTGTAGTGTCAACAAGAAGAAAGGAGAAGCAACAGACATAGTGAAATGAGATGGGACAAGAGAAAAGAAAGGGGAAATAAAAAAACCCTAAATTATAAATAGATTTAAAGATTT